CCCCAAAACCCCAAAACCCCAAAACCCCAAAACCCCAAAACCCCATCAGTAAATATCAAGAGTTAATATTAAAAAGGTAAATATATCAAAAATAAAATATAAGTGTTTTGATGAGTATTGATATTTATTAAAGAGGGTAGGTAATGCCTAAGATAATTACTACTGAGAAAAAGTTCTTATATACCATATCAAATTCATTCATCTGCTCTCACTTATACTATGATCGATAGTTTGCATTTCATTAATTACTATCTATACATTATCAACAAGGATTTTGATGGAATCAGATGGCATCCATTTCATAGCTATCACTTATCCTATTATACATATTGTTATCATAAGTGAATTTCTTTCTCAGAAGTTAATGACAATTACTATTGTTGCTATCTTTATCATCTTGGAATCTTTAGATTTAATTTATTTTACTATGTTTACGAGTTCTCTGTATCTTGTCAAGACTACTAATTGAATATTCCTTCTTTAAAGTGTACATCTATTGCATTTAGTATACATGGGAAGAGGCACTGCTATCCTCATATAATTCAGAATCTATCAAATTCCCTCCTTCTATTCTTTAACTTTTACATTAAGGATCATCTCTTTGCATTAGGAAAGATCTTCCTTCCTGATCTTATTCAATAATTGTTTCAAATTACATTTGGGACTCTCTGTCGATGAAGTATATTTAAGATCTCTAAGGCTGCAAGATTAATTATCCAGTTTATACCACTCCTCCAGCACTTGATCCACTTATTTGCTAGTTTTAATGATTTAAGACACTATTTTTAGTGCTAGATTTCTTAGAAGACTATTTAGAGTTATGCAGATTCGTCAATGATCTCATATTCAAATTACTGCCTGTCTCATAAAACATCTCTTTACTTTTTTATTGTTTTTTATTCAACTGACTAGTTGAATTACTATTGTATAACCGTTACTACTACGAGCTGGCCTTTAGTTAGTTTTGATTTATTAAGCTAGAAGTTGATTGGAATGTATTCATATTTTACTATTTGAAGTAAAACTTTTACTGACTTTTTTATTTACTAAACATTGATGAGCTATTATCTATCATTTAGCTGCTATTCATAGAATTGTATTCATCATGAACTTAAGTACTGGGAGCATGAAACTGAGATCCCTAAATTAAAAATTAGATTGATAATGTCTGCAAAATAAAATTTAATCAGCCCCTATTTCGTAAAATATTATATATTCTAAACTTAGGAGTATGAAGTAAAATGATGAATCAAAGCATCATTCAATTAAGGATAATATCATTGCACATTGTGAATTCATTTATTGACTTACCTAAGTAGATTATTATTTATACATTTGAGTGCCTTTTTATCCAGAGGCATTGACTTTTTACTTTGGAAATTGTGCTGATTCATTTTTAGAAATGGATCGGTGCTAATAAGTATATTTAAAGGAATTTATTTACTCTGACTACTATTTGCGCAGTTGATGTTGAATCTCTTTTTCTCATTTATCTACGCTAGAGTTCATGATTTTCACTTTTTATTGTCATATGTCTTTAATTCTATTCAGAATTGCAGCACAATGATAAATTTTTAATCGAGAAGCTAATATTAAGGTGTGAGTGAATTAGTTTTTTGCCTTAAAAAAGGTGTAATAATTTCATAGAGTCTAAAACTTACATTAGCTGCTGAATGAATGATTAATCTTGTCGTTAGCTTGACTAACTTGTTAAGTTATAGTAATTCCTGTTATTTTAAGGTCCAATCTCCTACAGCTATGATAGCAGTATCTCATTCGAGTCTTATCGATAATCTTCATTTTCTTCAAAATCATTTTTAGTTGTCATTAAAATATTTCTAATAAATTAATGATTCGATTAAGAAGTAAGGTTAAATAACTTACTTAAAAAAGAAAGTAAAAACCTCATAAATTTGGGATTTCCATCATCTCATGGGGTTTTGGGGTTTTGGGGTTTTGGGGTTAATTCTGGTATATA